AAGATAGGATCTGTGGGGGGTTGCTGTGATCTGGGAGGCTTTGGCAGGATCAGGGGAGCTCATGGGGTCTGTGGAGGATTTTGGGGAGCCTAGGGGATATTTTTAGTTCCCTACCCCCTCCAGTGAACCTACACCCTCATCCTTCCCAGCTCTCCCCCACTGATACTTTCTTCCTTGGCTCCTGGTAATGGCAAACGCTGATAAGACTGGCTGATAATAGTGGCTTGGGGTGGGCCTTGCTGGTCCATGGTGGGGATTGGGGTAGGGGAGAAGAGCCAGGTGGCTCTAAAAATAGCCCAGTCGCAAGGGGGTGGGTAGGAAAAGTGCAGCCTTGGACTAGGGCTTTCCCATCCCTGGGGTTGTGCAGGTAACTGTACTGAAGTTCAATACCCTTGTCTAACCTAGATTGATTACGTTTGAGTGTACATTGGTCCAAGTTTATCTTAGATCAGGTTCTGCCATTTTTCGATTGGTCTGTCTGCAGAACTTCTGTACATTTACAGATTTAGATTGATTTCTGATCACTGAAACTGAGTCTAAGTGTAACTGGTTAAAGAAAGTTAGATGAGGTGGCCATTTTTAATGCAATTTAACCTCTACCTAACCTCCTCGAATGTCTGCACTTAGCCTAAAGGTAGGTCTGGGGTATGCTTGGCGATATGGTAGTGAGGATCCTGCATGTATACCCTCACTGCTGTCTTCAGGATCTCAAAGAATGAGATCAGGGAGCACCTTATAGCATCCTCACAGCCTCGGTTCTGAGCCTGGAAGTGGTTGGGCGGGATTTATCTTTCAGGTGCACTCTCAGGAGCAGTATGGACAAGGGTGACCCTCCATCACAAAAAACAATCTGTGCTACTCCAGCAGCCACAAAACTCATTAGCTCCCTATATTTCAAACTGCAACCTAAACTTGGGCTTCTGAACATGTATGGAAACAATGCATTTTGAGCACTTATGGGCCTATCCCATTCCTAAGCTCTGTTAAAATCCAAAAAGAGATAAATTGCCTCGATCAATTAGATCTGCTCTGATCACCCCAACATACACCAGCAACCAGAGAAAAACATAGCATCTACATTCAAAAATAGTTTTACTCATGTTTCCCAAATTTTGAATAGCATCCTAGTGATGAGAGCACTCACCAGAAAATGGGAAACCTGAAATCTTGGCTCTTCTCATCTTTCACTATAGTTGTTCATTGAACCTGGTCTGTGTTCATGAAGATCACTTTAAGCTGTGTGAATGTAGACTGTGAGCGGTGTGTACAGGCTCTTGCCAGTCCTGGGAGCTGCATGGGGGGGATGAAGGTGGGCTGGTGAGTCTGCAACAGTGTTAGTAGTTCCACAGAGGGTTGTCAGTCTGGAGGTGAGGAGGTTGGGGGGCTAAAAATAGCACATTCAGGGTCAGCAGGTAGCAACAGCACAGCCCTGGGGCAGGGGCGAGTCTCTGGGCTTTCCCAGACCCAGGACTGTGCTCAAATTCACCCAAGGAACCTTGTCTGCCTATGTCCTTAGACCAACACGGCTACAACCTAAACCCCTGAATGAGTACAGGCATTTGATAGATAAATTAGTTCACCTCCTCAGATGAACTACCTCAGATCTGGCTCACCATTTGTTGCCCAGTTTAACCTCCCTGAACACCTGTTAAAATTAGGCATTTAGACTGACTCAACCTTAGTTAGGTTGATCTAAATATAATGCTTTTATGGCCCCAGAAGAGTACCCTAATCATCTGTCCTGTTGAAACAAGTGGGTAGCAAGGAAGGAAAGTCATAGGGACATAAGAAGCAAGAGGGAACATGATGCCATAGTTTTAGTGGTTGGGAAGGAAAGATTATGCCTGATTTTTAACCAATGATAGCTGAATCATCTGATTAGTTCAATGGCCTGATCTAGTATGACAATTCATAGAATCATAGAAAATCAGGGCTGGAAGAGACCTCAGGAGGTCATCTGGTCCAACTTCCTGTTCAAAGTAGGACCATTCCCAACTAGATCATCCCAGCCAAGGTTTTGTCTAGCCAGGTTTTAAAAACTTCCAAGGATGGAGAGTCTATAACTTCTCTGGGTAACTTGTTCCAGTGTTTTGCTACCCTCCTATTGAGAAATTTTTTCCTAATATGTAACCAAACTTCCCTTGCTGCAACTTGAGACCATTGCTCCTTGTTCTGTCATCTGCCACCACTGAGAACAGTCCAGTTCCATCCTCTTTGGAACCCTCCTCCAGGTACTTGAAGGCTGCTATTGAATCCCCTCTTAGTATTCTCTTCTCAAGATTAAATACATCTTTCCTTATAAGTCATGTCCCCCAGCCCCCTCACCATTTTTGTTGCCTCCTCCCCCCCCCTCCCCCGAACTCTCTCCAATTTGTCCACATCCTTTCTGTAGTAGGGGAGGAGATGGGGGGGTGGGGGTGTGTGCAAAACTAAACACATTATTTCAGATGTGGCCTCACCAGTGCTGGATAGAGGGGAATAATCACTTCTCTTGATCTGCTGGTAACAATTCTACCAATGCATCTCAGTATGCTCTGTTGGCTCATATTCAGCTTATTGTCCATGGTAACCCCCAGGTCCTTTTCTGTAGAGCTGCTGCCCAGCCAGTTGGCCCCCAGCCTGTACTGGTGCATAGAATTGTTATGTCCTAAGTGCAAGGGTTTGCACTTGTCCTTGTTGAACCTCATGAGATTTCTTTAACCCAATTCTCCAATCTGTCCAGGTCACTCTGAATCCTAGCCCTACCGTCCAGCATACCTACTACTCCCCCCAGCCTGGGGGTCATCTGCAAACTTGCTCAGGGTGCACTCCATCCCATCTTCCAGGTCATTGATGAAGATATTAAACAAAAAATCCTATCCTTTTATCTTCCTATTGAAATGATCTTTGAAGAAAAAGGACTAATTGTTTTGTGAAGATCTGGTCAGCTCAGAACTGACTTTTCACAAACTCTTGTATGTTGTGGCAAAGACTGAATAAAAGATACAAGAACAAAGGGAAAGTACTCAAAAGGAAAAGAAAAACAGAACCAGAAAAATATGGGAGGCATCTTGTTGCCGTTTAACTTTTTGTATATAATTTAAGGAATTGTTTTTGACTAATGAGGTCTTATATTTATCCCACTCACCTGAGGAAATGCCTCTCTAATTATGCTACATGATTGCAGTCAGCAAGTAGACATAAGTGTAGGCTGCTATGGGCAGAGTCTGGGCAGATCACAGCAGGGTATGTTTGGTCACACTAGTGGAGCTGATCAGTTTTACTTTTGCTGCTGACTTTGGCCAAGGACCCACTGTTCAGGGTCCTTGCCTCTGCTATAGCCAGGCTAGTAGATAATACTCAGAGGCCACCCTAGCGATGCAAAACAAACAAAAGAAGTTAAAATATAAGCTAGCACTTAGCTGTCCTCTAGTGGTTCTTCCAGGGTTTCACCTCCTGATTGCCTCTTATCTTTCAGAGGCTTTGCAGAGCCTGCAGGCTTGTGCAACAAAGCAAAAGATCAAGCAACCAAACAGAGACGCTCCTGGCTCTGGGCTCTCCCATTAGCTGCTCAACCCCTGGTAACTCCAGGTATCCTGCTCCCTTGCCAGGTGCAGCCCCTTGAGGCTGCTTTTAATGTCTTATCCTTCCCACTCTGGGCTCATGTGGCTGACCCTCTCTTACTCCCCACACCTGTGTCAGCTCCCTTGCTGTGGGACTCACTAAGTCTCAGGACTTGGTTCCCCAGCCTCTGGTGAGTTCTCTTAGGTCTGGGGTGTGAGGCTGTTCAGACTCCCCAAACTCCTAGTAACAGGGCCCTGTTACAACAAGCCAGAGCCCTTTCAATATAAAAGGGGAGGAGCTATCCCCTTCAAAATTAATTCCCTTAAAATAGCCTGCATGTGTTGCAAGATTCATTTGTGTTCCAGTAGACAAGAGTGGGGTTCATTACAGCCAGATATTTTTAAAGTGTTAAGCTCTTGGTAGTGTTTTACTTATTATAGGTAATTAAGTGTTGGCAGGGTTGCCACGTGCTTTGGCTAGGTGTCTGTTTCGTTTTGAAAATTGAATACAATTGAACAATATAAGAAATATAGCCCAATACACCTCAGCATTGCTCTGGTCTTTTTGTCATCTTTTCTAATGAAATTCCAACACGTTTGCAATAAACACACCAATGTTCATCTCTGGATTGTTGATACGGATTCTCCAGTATGAGTAGGGTTCATCTTTTTCTACCAGAATTCTGAGCCCATAAGAAACTATCAGTTGTGTTCTTAAAAGTTTATTAACTATAAAACAAGAGCACTTCATTGATTTGAAAATAGCCAGTTTATTTTTAAAGCAAACACGAAGAGGTTAATCTATCTAGTCTCATATGGTCTTCTACTGCAGATTATAGACAGAGAGCATGCTGCGCTTGACACTAGGCACGGCTACTAGAGCACCGGTTGTTTGGCTCAAAAAAGACAGAGGTCTTGTTATCTGAACCACTGAAAATTCCCTTTTAATAACAGTAATAATAACAACACCAATCTCTTATATAGCTCTTTTCATAGTAATATCCTCTGCTTTCCCTTCCTTTCCTTATTCCTTAATTCAAATAAAGGAATTTGCATTCTTTTCTCTTCCCTCCATCTCACTTTACCCTACACCAAGTGATGAAATAAAATTAACAAACGTTGTGCTAATATGGAACTTGCCAATGGATATTGCTTGTTGCGTCTTTGCCTGCTTAGATTGAAAACTCTTTGGCCAAAGATCAGATCTTCCTATACTTGGATAATATATTGATGCCCCAATTCTGGCTGGATGCCATCATAACAACAGTGCTATGTGGCTGTTTTTAGGAAACTTTAGAAGGGGTGAATGATTTCTTCATGGAACAGAAATTTTAGCCAGGCAGAATTAAGTGGGCATATCACAGATCACTGGTCTAACTACCGTATTCCCACAAAAAGCAAGAGTATAGAAATTATAAAGTTACTGTTGATGAGCTGCCCATTTGTTTCTTCTGTGTCTTTGTCTCTCCAAACCTAGGAGATAGCTTTCACTACTAATAGCCCCAAGAAACAATCCTTTTACAACTGAAAATGATCCTTATTTCAACCAAATAACACCATGCTTAGACCTTACCATACCTCCACATTCACTGAATTACAGTAGAGTGTGAATGGGAATAATGAAATACTGATGCTGTATATACTGGTTCGTATGTAGTACATCGGTGATTTCTTTGAGAAGGGCTTCAAAACAAGTCCCACAGAGATACTTGTGGCAGCAACTTTGCTGCTCCCTACAGATGAAAGAGCATAGTAACATACTTGCTTTGAGAAGAACGTTTTTGGATTGAAGCCGCTGCCTGGAACTTTGGCTTCTACGTGCTGAGAATGCAGGTTGGGTTCAGCTAGCTTTGCTGTGTGAGAGGTGTTGCCCTGCTGAGGAGATGTTGAACAGAATCTGTTCATCTCGGGCAGTATTTCAAAGGTGTAGTGATAACCTCAGTGGCCAGCTGGTCTGCATTCCCCATCCTAATAAAATGAGTTCTAGTGTCCAAGGTTGTATGAGTTATTGGGGAAGGCTTAATAGACACTCTCTTTGCCTGCATAGATGTTGCTCTACCAGGAATTCTCTTATGAGAATTTATCTCTGAAAACACTTTGGGTTACTGTGACTATTGCTTGTATTCTAGGAAACTAGATCTTACTCTTTGCACTCTAAAAAACTCAAGCAAGTGAGAAGTGAATTTCCTCAAGCAGCAGAATTGGTGTTTCCTGAACTAGGAAATAATGATAATAATTAATATCTTTTTTTTTTCCTTCCCACTTTAAAGCATACCCATTAGACATCCAAATGCACAAACAGGAGTCATGCCAGGTTAACCGATAGGCTGTTAGTTAAACCTCTGTGTGAAGACCCTCCCTAATCTACTCAACCCTCAAGAGATCAAACAGAAAGTTAACAGAGCAGAGCAGGTTATATGTGATGGATGCGTGTACATAAATCACTTCCTCAAAGCTAAATTGTTCCAATTCACTCACTGGCAACAAACTGCAAAGGTTCTCACAGACATATAACACCCCCTTCCCTCCCCAGTAAGGATTACAGTCTGAGATTAGTAAACTCCTGGGAATGCAGGTAATATAGTAGCAGGGTAAAAAGCAGCAAACCAAGTAGGGAATAAAAGCAAGTATTGAAAAGAAATTATCACAGTCCTTGTCTTTTGATATGCATTTTACTATCCCTTAGGGTTGCCTGCTTGGATTGTGCTCCTTTAATTTTTAACATTATACAGATAGCTTTGTTCTTGCATTCTGGAAGCAGATACAGAATAACTCTGACAAAGGAAGAATGTGTCGTGATTCTTTAAGAAATAATTTGTTAAATTATAAAATAATATTTGCCTGTGAATAACAAACCCTACAAGAACACTACAAAATATCACCCACAATTTACAATCTTGGTGTGTTTTTATTGTTTCTATAAAATACATTCCTGGAATACAATGATGTGAAGAACACTCCTCTTATTGTTTCTTAATATATTCCCTGTGATAGACTTTTCAGCCCTGTCATTTTAGGATTTAATCTCACAGTTCTTAAAAGGAAAAATTAATTCCATTTACCACTTAGCAAAGATCAAAAGACCAGATGTTTAATCAACAGATCTATCCTATGGTAGACTAATTCTCCTCTCACTGAGTGCATGTACATGAGACACTTAATGCCCATTGGAATAATTCTACTGCGCATTAGTCTGGCTGGCAAAAAACATTAATCTGCGCTAATGCGCAGGAGAATTGGTCCAATGGGCATTAAGTATCCTCTTAAAAAACATTCATCTGCACTAATGTGCAGTAGCACCGATTACAGCACATTAAATGTATGTGACTGAACTTAATGTGCTGTAATTACAGTGAATTAATGGACATGTAGACATGCCCACTGACACCATTACAATTTCTCTGATTTTACCAGCAAGCTAAGAAAGGAATTGCACCCTAGAACAGTTTTAAATTAAAGTCAAATCTAAATTATTTGCTTTTCTTGGCTGTGGTTTTTATCTAATGTTTTTCATTTGTGGAATCATAGCTTCTCCTCTTACTTCACCACTAGTCTCATATTTTCTCTGTGCACTATCTCCATCTCATTTCTCTACTGCTTGTTTGAAACTGAAGGGATAGCAGTAGTACATTTTGGGGAAGGGCCCTTTTCAACACTGTTGCATAACTTCTTGCCTGTTTAAAAGCAATTCTAATTGAAAGCATGATGGCCATTTATAGACATGTTCCACAAGGTGGAGGGTGGGGGGTGTTTTAATTAGCCTTTAATTAAATTATCATTTAGTTAAAATGCCCAAAGTATCACATGTGTCAGCATCCCTGCACTGACAAATGGAGGCAGGGTGCTTTGAATGAAAGCTCATGGAATGAGCTGAAGTGCCCCACTACCATTTTTCATTGTGGGGACACTGATACATGTGATGCTGGAGTCTGCTGGAGCGCGGTAATTACCACGCTCCCGCAGACTTGCTTAATTGAGTCTGGTCCAACACGCTGTAATTACATTGTGTTGAAGCAGCCTCACTGCATTTGTATAGGAGCCCAATTAAGCTGTGGCTGATCTTCTCCATTTCCTAAATAGACCCATGCCCTGCTACAGTAATATGGAGCTCACTCCTGGCTTTTGCTGAACTTTTGCATCTACTGACAATTCTTAGTTCTTATGAAGTCATCTGGTGTATGGGATCTCGGCATTTTCTATCAGATACAAATACCTCATGTGTTTAGACATAAATTAATTTCCTTTGCTGAGTGTGAGGAGGTTCTCAGTGATAAAGAAAGTAGGAAGTAATCCTCCCTCTTAGGCCACTTCTGGCTGTGGAGCTGTTCTGAAAATGTTCTTTTTCAGTCTGGAGTCTGTAGCTCTAGTTTTCATTAAACTATGGAAAGAAAGATGGGAAGCTCCAAGGAGTGGCAGGCTCTGTGTCACCAAATTTTCAGATATCAAATAAGCCTACAGTGATGGACTTAGCACTACAGAGAAGGCCACACCTCGTGCATGTGCACAAAGACTCTTTCAGCAGGGCAGTTTCCATATGCATAGGTGTAGGAATTGCCTTTAATTTCATTTCATTATGTGCTTATAGGTTATGTGCTGGTTATCCAGTGTGTGGGTTGTGATATTTCTCCAGATAAAATAGGATTTTCTTTCCTCCCTGCCAGTAACACAGTCCCAATCTCCTCAATGGTTTTCCACACTGAACACTAGGCATCCTTTCCCTTTGAGTAGCTTCCAGAGTGTCTTTTCTGAACAGGGAT